AAGTAGAATGGCTTTAAGTATACCGATTTCTTCTCAGGCTAGATCTGACTAATTATGCCTCAATGGGAAACTTTAGGAAAGTCAATTCTTCATCACCCATCCTTGTGATCATAAAGTGGCTTTTGACACCATAGAAAATACTATTTAGTCACTCCAATCCTGTGGCTTAATCGTCTTTTCAGATGATAGATAGGAAAATTATTTAAGTTCTATTTCCAACAGACAAAATAATATGTTCAGTTTTGAATGTATGAAACCAAGTAAGTTTGTGAAATAAGAAAATTTAGAGCATCTTTATTTAAAAAAACCCAAATATTTAGGGAGCTGATATGGGGGAAAGTTATGGAACTAATCTAAATTATAGCACCCATGAGGGTGAGACAGAGAGAGAGACAGAGAGAGACAGACAGAGAGAGAGAGAGAGAGAGAGAGAGAGAGAGAGAGAGAGAGATTAATCACTAATTGTCCACTCAAAGAAAACATTAATTGAGCACCTACCACAGAGGAGCCTCTGTACACTTACAGATAAACTTGAGCCATCAACACAACAAGAAAGTCTTCCCCCAACCACTACGCTACATGTGATAGCAGACTCTACCTGCTACCCAGCACTCAACTCCCATCTCGCTGGTTTCCTTTTTGCCACAGCACTGATCACTAACTTAGATAATACATATTTATTTGGGTGTTTATGCCTACTAACTCCTCCTGCTAGAATGTAAACTCCAGGAGGATAAGAACTTTGTTATCTTCTTTGTTACATTCTCAGTGCTTAGGACATGTAGTAGATAATGCAATAGGTGCTAAGCTAATATTTAATAAATGGATGAAGAAATAGTAAGATTAGGAAAACCCGAATTCTACCCACACTTAGGGATATGGTGTCTAAAGGAAAGATAAACCAGACACAAAAGAACAGAGAAGGTTTACATTTACTGCCAGGCTTCTGTAGAAGTTTCAGGCCCTGGTGGGATTAAAAATGCCACTGGTTTGGCAGGCAGTCAGTCGTCACTGCCACCTCCTCTGAGATGATTTTCCTGCCACTCCCTACCCTTAGATTCCCTGTCTGCCTGCTTGGAAGCAGAAAACTAATCGTGGACCATATCTTCGGGTTCTGATGGGAATATTTCTCTGGCTCGACAGAAAAAATGCAGGCTGCAGGGCCTCCACTGCATGGTCAAAGGAGGGGTAGAACAGTGGTGGGTGGACCCTTAGGGGCGCACTTGCTGCCTGAGATTCTTTTGGCCAACCAGGCTCACCCAGAGATGACAGTTTACCTCCCAGTCCCACCGACCTTCCAGGGCCCCTCTCTGGACAAACCACTCCATTCTTTCTGCTATCACCAAACCAACTCTCTCTGTCCCCACTATTCTCCTGTCAGAACCCACACATATTTAGAATCTGAAATCCCTCTGGACTCAGCTAGCCCATCCCCACTGACACTGCCTCAATTCACTGCCTCTCTTCATTTTCTCCCCAACCCATGTCCTCATTAAATGAAACCCTAATCAGTTCTCCATGATTTTTTTCTTCTTCCCCAATCTGTACCTTGTCCCTCCATCAAAATAATCTTAATCCCCTCTC